TGGTCCAGAGGCCTTCTTCTTAACAGTTCCCACACATAATAGATTCCAAAGATGTTTGAAATGTTTTGGTACCAGAGTTAGTACATGAGACTCGCAAATGACCGCTGCAAGCGCGAGCGAAATCAGGAGAGAGAATCGAAGCACGTGACCACACTTGTATTATGTGAAATTGTACAAGTGCGTGTTTTTGTAGTTTTTCGTATTCAAACAAAAAACTATTATGCGATTGATGAAATACGTAGTGTTATAATGGAAGTAAAACAAAAGTACAAAACGCCACAGTCACAGCTTACGTTTGTGGTGAGGGCCAGCTGCTGTTGGCCATTGTGTTAAACTTTTATGCGTATTTAAGGCCACGTAATCTGCGGCGGGCATAGATATGGGTCTGGCAGTTACGTGAAGCATCCAAGGCGCACGAAAACAAAAATGTTTATGATGATCCTTCGTAGGCCATATTCTGTGGCTGTTTTCAGACGAAATCTAGCTGAATGAAACTAGTTCCTCCACTGAGGAGTGTCTGTCGCCACATTGGTTGCAGTTTACATGTAGAATGTAAGATATCTCAGTATCACCTAACTAGTCACGCACATTCGGGAGTGATCATTCACAGAGCTGCAAAGTTGCATCGCTGTTTCAGATTGTATTAGGTAGACTTTGATTGTTATACTCGAAAAAAACGGTATTCTTCCGAACTTAAGTAAATCCTTTAAGTTGCATCCTTTAGTCCTTTAATTACATCGGACGAGTGGAACGGATCCAAAATTACTCAAGTATCCCGCAAGGTGGAATTTTCATTAAAATTGTGTTAAATTTATTTTTAATTTCAAGAAAACTGCAGACTGTTCAAACGTGCAATGATTTGGAACCATGCTCCGTTTGATAAACCGGTGGTCACGTACGAACCAGCGATGTTTAGCGACTCCGAATGCTTTCAGTAAAACAAAAAACTGAAACTTCCAGTCAGACCAGACTGACTCCTTGCAAAATTGCCAACTTAGTAACCCCATAGTTTCGGCAAAATCAATTTCGGTTCTCCTCTGGTGATCGACGTGACGTGTGCTAGGATGTGTAGTGGACAAGGACCTATGTATGCGTGTTCGATAGAATATACAACCAAAATACCAGCTTAGAAATAACAAATGGCAATAAGAAATGGACAAGTGAACGGAGTGGACTCACTAAATTAGAGGTCCAATAATTCCACTACACGAAATGTTGTGCAGTAATTGTATTCGGCGGTGAAGAATATATCCAGAGTAAGAAGGATATTCTCCACTGATAGTTCGAGTTTTAGAAGTAAATTCCACGGTAGACGGTTATCACAGCTGAAAATTTTCACAAGGGGTTATTGTGACGTTCAACAGTTCACACAAACACAATAATCCAATCTCACGACTTCAGCAAACAGCAATCAGCTCAATCGGATGCAATTTCACTGACTCAGCAAAAAGCAGGGAAGTCGCGCCAAGAAAAATTGTATTCGTAACATTAAAACAAACGTCATGATACAATGTGAACGACAGTTACAAAGTGTGGTTCAAGTTCAGGAAGAATGGTAAATGTGACAACGGATTACAGACACTACAGATGGGATTATCTCATAGCTTTATCTTGATTCGCCAATGGCTTCTAAACTTTCATGATTTCAACACCAGATTTTCTTTTTCGTCCTAAGAAGCCTTCGATTTGAGTTCCTGACAATATATTGAGTATTAGTAATCTAGCCCTGCACCTTGTTGACCC